TCTGTCAGTCTTAATTAATTCAAATACCTCTTCCGTGCACTGTATGGTCGTAATTGTGTCGATGCGCTTCTCTTTACTCAAACTCAAATTAACTCTTACTAAAACTAAGCTAAAGAGTGGCGTCGGTGGTCTAGTGGTTAGGATACCGGACCCATAATCGTGAGATTGCGGGTTCGGGAGTTCGAGCGTCAGCTCGGGCCAATGTTGCGTCCCTGGGAAAGACACATTGCACGAATTTCCCGTTTCTCCTGGCCCTTTCGGAGATGGACGTTATACTTGGAGGTCCTGCCTCTTAAATAACCTAATAGTGTTGATAGGGACGTTAAACCTATACCATTTCACCGTTTTTTTCTGAACTGAAGACTTCATTTTCCGTACACAGTCCGTCAGTCTGTGTCGGTGCTGTTATGTCTTGCTTGTTGTGGGTTGTCTCTGCCAGGCAGGGTCTTTCAATCCGCCCCCGAAATGATCAAAGTTCAGCCGACTTCATAATGGATAGGGGACGTTTACCAAACACAAGACGCAACAAATGACACAACAGACCAATGACGTTCCCAAACAAAAGACGCAACAATCCACATAACAGACCCATGACGTAATGGATAGGTGACGTTACCAACAAAAATAGCAACAAATGACATAACAGACCCATGATGTATCAGATAAATGACATTACCAAACAAAAGACGCAATAAATGACGTAACAGACCCGTAAGGTAATGGACATGTGACATTACCAACCAAAAGACGCTACAAATGACATAACAGACCCATGACGTAATTGATAGGTAACGTTATCAAACAAAAGACGCAATAAATGGCATAACAGACCCGTGGTGTTACAAACAAATGTCGTAATGGATAGGCGGTGTAATGGACCAATGACGTATTATGTCCCCAGGAATGGGTGAAGAACTGGCTGTACACGCGGCGGGACAGTGTGGCGGGAAGTGACCAGGGCCTGGACTGGTTGCTCACTCTCTGGGCCTACCGGGATGCTGAGGTAGGTGTATGTTCTTGTTGCTGGTGGTGATGGTGTTGTTGTTGTTGGTGGTGGTGGTGTTGTTGTTGTTATAGCTTTATTGCTGTTGTTGTTGTTGTTGGTGGTGGTGGTGTTGTTGTTGTTGTTGTTAAGTGACCATACCAGGATGATGAGGTCAGTGTTGTCCCTGTTGTTTCAGTTGTTTTTGTTGTTGTTATAGCTTTATTGCTGTTTTTGTTGTCATAGCTTTGTAGTTGTTGTTATTGTTGTTGTTGTTGTTGTTATAGCTTTATTGTTGTTGGTGGTGTTGATGATGTTGATGTTATTGTTGTTATAGCTTTGTTGTTGTTGGTGTTGGTATTGTTATAGTAGTTTAGTGACCAGGGGCTGGACTGTCTGCTCAAAGTCACCCCTTAGATGCCGCTCTGATCCGCACTGAAGGAGTTACATTCAGCTGAGATCCCGCTTCTCAGGTCATATTCAAGTTGTTTTGTTGTTGTTTTTTCGTTGCTTTTTTGTTCTTTTTATTTAAAAAAACGACAACTGATGATTGGAGGTCTGCTTTAAATGTCTGTTATTGGGTTGTGTTGATATGTTTTTCTTTGCACAAGTTCAAACGCTATTTTTTTTTTATCGCATTCTGTGGTGTAATGGTTAGTCTCTTCACTGTAGCATGCAGAAGACGTGTGATAGATTAGCAATGGGGTTTTTTTCTGGGGTTTTTTTAAATACTCAATATCTCCACGGGTGGTTGGCGGGTGCTCTGGTGTGGTTTGCTCCTTCTTTCTTACCAAACATCTATCGTCCTTATCTCCCCTCTTTCTA